ATATTTTTTATGGAATCGTTCCAAAATGTATTGTATAAGTCCCTGCCTTCTTAAACAGATGATACACAGCATATTTTGCCTTTTTCTTAATGGCTTAAGTAATTATAAACATCACTTATTATCCTCTGCAGGCAGCTGTAGTGCAGTGATGGCCTTAGGGTGGGAGAGGCATGTCAGAGCCTGCACCTTAGTGATAAATGGCCCAGACATTTTGGGTTTTATTATTCTTCTTTCTTTTTTTGCTCTGGTGTTTCTCCAAGCAGTCAGCTGGCTTCTTTTGTGAGTGTATGTCTGACTGGAACAACCCTCTTCTACTGTTTAGTTACCTGTTTTTCTTCTGCCATGGACTGGGAAACCAGATAAATAGCTTCATTATAAATCGTGGAGGTAGGGAAAAATGCCTGTAAAGTATATTCATTTTCAAGGCCAGAATTCTTAACCTTTCAGGGGCTTTTAAAAAAATGTCTGGGTTCTAAGTAGTTGAGGTTGCTCTATGCCTGATGCTTGGGTAAGTGGGTATTATCATTAATGTGATGGTCAAAGATTCATGACACGTCAGTCATTCAGACTCTTCATTTTAGCAATAAATGAGGCTTTTGTGTTTTAGTAGCCTACTGGCTTACAACTAGTATTAATAAAATGTTCATCTTATTCTTATAATAGTGGAAGAACCCAAAGGCAACTTTTGGATTATGGGAAAAAAGGGAGGTTGAAGAGCTTGCCATTTGAAAGGTAAATGGTTTTCTTTCTTTCTCTCATGTTGATTTATGTTGAATTTCGAGATTTATATGTATCCTGTAGTCACATAAAGACCGTTTCAATTCCTTCTGCATTTGGGAATTTCAGGAAACATTATCCATCTCAGCACCATGAACGACAGTGCAGGTCCTCACCAGACCTCCTCTCTGATGTGTCAAAACAAGTAAGGTTTCTGAAAATGCCTTCTTTAGATAAGTGTAATGTGTCATTTTCAAATGCTTCCAAGAATTGATTCTGCCAGAATCTCCCAGTGTGTAAAAAGGTTACTATGTTCAGGTAGGTTAGCCTCCTGGGGAGGTCTGTCAGTTCAGTCTTTCCAGCTTATAGACCATTTAGTACACTACCACTGGTGTGTACCTTAAAGACAGGAAAGATCTGGCACATCTTTAAGTTGCAACCCATAATGCTAACATCTTGCAAAATGCATAGCCGAGTGAATTTCTATGGCTTTGTATTTTCAAAAATAAAAGCTCTGCTTTTTTACCTATAAACATCTTAAGGCTCAGAAGAAGCTCTAAGATGTTGGGTTAAGGTTTGAAAGTACTTTTGCTGTGCAATTTTGTAACTTAATTTAAGAACAAAGTGCTCTTCTCCTGGATCTGTATGATGATGGCTTCATTTGAGTTATATAGACCATGTTAATTGCTTTTCTTTTGCTCTTACAAAAAAATATTAATTATAGGGCTCATAAACTCTCATGCGTTCATTCAAGTCACAGGCAGTTTTTATCTGAAAGACATCACAGAAGTATGATGAAAAGGAGCATCTAATATACATTCCTCTCATGCCATTCATAGCCTTCCTCCCTACCATTTTCCAGAAAATAAGGAGGAGTCTGGAGCGGGGAGGTTAGGAGGCTTGTCTAAGGTCACACAGCAAGTCCAAGGCAGAGCCAGGACCAGAAGTCAGGACTCCTGGCTCACTGATAGAGCTTGGTAAACCATACTGCTTGAAGTACAATGCTGGCTGAAGTATAGAGAACTCCGAGGCTGGGAGTTGGGATAGCATTGAGAAAGGATATTGTCATGCGTATATTTTGGATGTCGATTGGGATATGGTACAAGTTATTACCCTTTCTGTATATATTTATCAAGCATAGACTAGAACATGGATTGAAATAACTTTGTGAAAATCCACCTTGGCAAAACTCAAGGCTAATTTAGATCCCTGACCCCCCTTTAACCAAAGGGCTTTTTTCCTTCTTTCACCAACATGTCTTTTCTCTCAAGGTGGAAGAATTGAGACTAGCATATGGCAGTGGGTACTACCGAAATGTGAATGGAGTGCACGCATCTGAACCTGTGCTAGACAGTAGGAGGAGAAACTCTGCAGTGGAGGTGACATTTGCAGCCGAGCTGGAGCGTTCCAAACCAGAGGCAGATCTCACATTGTTACATCAGTCCCAGAGCAGTTCCTCTTTTCCTTTTGTTTATACTGACCCTGTCTTTAACACTGACCCTGATCCTGATCCCAGAGGCTACTTTGAGGAAAGGAGTCCTCTAAGCTCCTTCCAAACAAGCTGTAAGTTTGCTGACAATCACATGAGCACATCTTTGGGCCTTACAAGCAAAGTGAGTCCAGCAAGGCGGCTGGCATACACAGACGTGCCCTATATTCCCTGTACTGGTCAGCAGGTTGATATTATGCCTCCCCAAGTCTTTTTTTATGTGGACAAACCACCCCAGGTGCCCAGACCATCTCCAATCATGACAGAGGAAAGGGAAAGGCCATACAACTGTCTAGAGCCCACTGTAGTGAAGCCAGCCAAAAGAAGCCCTAGGAATATCAGAATGAAGAGCTTTCAGCAAGACTTTCAAGAACTCCAAGAAGCTATGGCCAGGACTAGTGGTAGGAGCAACATCAATGAAGATCTAGAAGAGGACCCTAATTCAGAAGATGTATTTGCACATAACATTCAAGAGCAAACCCCTAAACGGTCCCACAGCCAATCAGACATGAAAACTATCCGTTTTCCTTTTGGGTCAGAATTTAGACCTTTAGGGCCTTGTCCTGCTCTGAGTCATAAAACTGACCTGTTTACATATATGTTTGCAGAGCAGGAGTTGCCAACAGTTCTAATGGATCAGGGAGCAGCAGCAAAGTATGTAGCTATTGAATCCAGTGATTCTGAATCAGAGATTCTTGAACCAGACTATTACTCTTTGTATGGCAAAGGAATGAGGTCACCCATGGCTAGAATCCGCTTGTCTTCTGGTAGTCTACAGCTGGATGAAGAAGATGAAAATGTTTCTATCAATGTACCAACTGCTGATGACAGGACTTTGCTAAAACCATGTAATTACTTTTTAGCTTGAGTGTAAACTCTATGAACATTTCTGGGCTAGTTCTGCTACCAACTTAGGTAAAAAGAAGGAACCTTCTGCATTAATCATTTTCTTAGTTCCTATTCATTGGTTATTTAGGGACTCTTCTAAGTTGAAGCACCTAGCTTATTAAAGATTCAACTGTTGCCTTGTTCCTCAAGCTCTGCTCCTCTATTCTCTCTGAGGGGACTCTGGAACACGCCCTCTGCTCACCAGCACCGTGGCAGGGTGAGGTGGGTGTTTCTCATCTCTATTATACATTTCCCCATGGAGATACTATAAATGAAGGTTGGGTTCCTTAACACTGAAGAATGGTGATTTAGCGATTTAATAGATCATGACTGTGTTGGTCATTTTGTTCTTAAACAATACTATGACTAAAGGTTTCAGTCCTCATTACCTGTAGGGGGGCCCAGTAAAAATGGTCCTATTATATGTTAAGGACTTAAATTTTTATGACATATGTTAGGGGGAGCATGGTCCTCTTATAACTCAGGAACAGGATGGTGGCATAATTCTCTCCACAGAACACAAGTTTATAATTTATCTAGGATTTGGCAGAATTCTAAACCTCAGAAATTCATGAATTAATCAATTTCTAAAGCCAGATATATGTCTGTTGAGGATATTGTAATGTTTGACTTATTACTTCTCTATTCTTAACTACCTATTATATGTAGTGAAAGATAAAAGCTAACATGTTGGTTTGCTTATCTAATCTGCAAGGTTTTTTTTGCTATTATCTTGTTGTATGCATGTAGGCAAGGAAATGTGATGAATAGTATTTTAATAAAGGGTGATGGAAATCCATTTATTAAAAAAATAAGTTGTAAATATGATCTTCCTTTTGTTTTAATCAGGTTCAAAAGTAATTGGTTCTAGCCTGTTACTAAGGGAAGGGACAGTTAGAAACAAAGAAAAGGAGGGAGGCAGGTGAGAAGTGGTAGATTTGGGGTAGCTGAAAAGAAAAAGAATAGTACTAAAACCAGAATGCGTTAATGAACCAAAATTCTATTCTTGATCCATTCAGAATTTCTCTATTATTTCCCCTGGAAGGTATAACATTCTATTTAAGAATGACATTGTTTATTGATTTTAATGTTAAGTATAACATATTTCAAGATAAAGTTAGGTATTAACTTCAAAGAAGTGGTGCAATATATAAGCAAGCTATTTTTATATGTGACTCAATGGAGAAAAGATGGATGGAATAATTTCCTTACTCTCCTTTACACTGGAAAAATCCCTTTTAATATACCTCCCTCTGTCCCTTTCCCACATTCTAGCACTTTCTTTCCTGCTCCTGGAACCATATCCAGTATCTCACAAGTCTAGAATAGGTATTTAATAATAAGAATATATTGAAGCCCAATCACCTATTTATTAATCCTGTAGATCCTCAAAACTATATTAAGTTCATCTTTGACGTTTTTTCTAGGAAAAACTCATATTCATTTAGGCTTAAATACTGTTTCTTGTCTCAATTTCTGGAAGTCTTTGTAAAATCTGTTTTCCCCAGAGAATTACAGCGTTCAAATCTTTATAAGGTTTCTTAATAAAACTATTGGGTTGTCAGAAAAGTCATGACGCATTTTTGCAATGAAAAACAGGAAAAATACGTCATGACTTTTCCGACAACCTAACATAATCAGGGTGAATATATAATTGATTGTCCAATCTAGGACATTTTTGAGTGAATGAGGACTCTCAATAATTTTGTCAGGACAGGAGGCAAAAATCAGGACATATGTTTACTGTAGCTATAATCAATGCTTAATAAAATATGAAGAATATCTTTTAATTTCCAATGGAAACATTGGTGTTAAAGTTCCAACAATAAATTAAAGGGCAAAGGAGAAATAATTTGAAACAATTAAAATACCACACCATACATTCCTCAAGAAAACAAACATTGAGGACTGAGGAATTTAAATATTTATTTTTAACCTTTCCCACCCCCCCCCAAACACTGGTGTATGCTGCACCTAGGAACAATTTACAGGACTAATAACTATAATGAATAAGCACTACAATTTCTATCCATGATGTAGTTGTGTTGTAAAGTTTCAGATAATCAATTTATAAATTTGTTGCTTTTACAAAAATATTCATTTAATTCATAATATGAGTTGCAAAATTATTTCCTGACCGCTACAGATTATAAATTGTAATTAATTTCAGTTACATAGCAGGTGAAATTTTTTAACTGAACCATTACTTCAAAATACAATGTGTTAAAAGTAACTGTTACAGTATAGGCACCAATGAAAAGAATTTTCTTGGCATGTGACATGACAACAACTTATTCAAGTGTCTGTATTATTACAAAAAAGAGAGGAGGTAATGGCCACTTTGACTAAAAATTGCACACTTTACTTGAAGAATATCTTTCTTCTAATATTTGGCAATTATTCAGATTTTAAAAAAATGACTTTTGTGCAAAAACCAATTTGTGCAGTTCCAAACAGTAAAGCACTGACTATCAAAACTAATTAATATCAATAATTCTACTGGGCTTAAAAGAAAAAGGTATTACCCACATAACAGTACCATAAATATAACTGAAAATCAACAGTACAGTCTAACTTACCTTTGTACGGACAGAAATCATCCTGTACTATGGTTATTTTCATATGAACTAGAAAATGACTATTTAAATACCCTTTCAAAAATGAAAACATGATGCTTATGTATCAGATAATTATGAAGAACAAAAATGTATAAATAGTTTATAGGACATTTTACTACCATGACAAAAATATGCTGGTGTAAGTTATAGTCATACCTGTTGATCAGGTATTTAATCACATGATTAGCTTTTTTTAAGCTCCCCAAATCCAAGCATGTTATATGCTATTTGAGTTGAAGATTTTAAAAATGAAGCCCGACTAATTCCTACAGTATTACCAAAAAAAAAATCCTTGGCTAATTGGTATTGTTTTAAATTCTCAACAATGTTAAATAAGGATTAATTGCCTCTTCTAAAAGAGAAAGTAAATACTGTACACCAAGAGGTACCTCTGTTGCTGCATATTGCCTATAAATACGTCAAACACAGGGCTCTCAAATGTGGTCATCATCGAGCTGCCTGGAATATCACACCAACTTGGTAGAAGAGTCAATACTTTTTCAGGTTTCATTTCCAAGAGCTTATTAAAAACTTCTGTTTTAAGAAGGCATGACTTGTTTCTACCTCCCCACCAATAGTCATTTTTAGAATATGCTTTTGTTAAAAAAAAAAGCTTTATGAGGCTTGATGATTTACAAAAGTTGAATATTTAGGATGACTTTGAAAGACCTGTATGTTTCATCAGTGTACAGTTAACTAAAGATCAAAACATGAAAAGTATTCATCCTAGTAACTTAAGTAATAATGATAACTAAAAGCAAACCTGTAGCTTAACCTTTACTAGAATACAGATGAAACTATAGTATTAAAAGTTATCCCTTACAAAATAATCTCTTTAAAATATAAAATGATAAACACCATCACAAAATAGTTGAATAGCTTCTTCCAAATCTTCAATGTCGCAAAGATCCAAAAGGCACATGGAGCTCATGAGTTAAGCTTGAAGTAACTTTGGTGGGTTTCTCTGGGTCCATATGAAATAGAAGCCAATAATAAGTTTCTTAGGGGGATTCATCTGCTGAGCACCTGTAAAATTAAGAAAAACTTAAATTGATATATAACTATGCATGTTTATATTTCTCATCTGTATGAACTCTGCAATGAAGGAACTGATTCAGCAAACTAAATATTTTCTATTGAATCCAATCATGTAGACATTAAAATACAAAGTTTAAAAATCTCTTTCCAATTGATTTGTTTGCAAATTGGAAGAGAGGGGAGTTTTCCATTAAAATCTAAGGGATTTTCAGAGGGGTTTTAGTTTATGAGTACGAGTAGGCTTTATCAGATAGCAAGATCTATGAGAGTGTGTGCTTTTGCAGGCTATATAGTTTGTTTCCACTTGATGCCAGTGGCATCACAAATATAAAGAAATGTAAAGATGTGCAGATATGCAAGCAATATATGAGTAATGGGATTAAGGCTAAATTAATATTGCTTTATAACCTGCTTGAGTTAAGGAGTTTTATGCTATGTTTGTGTATGCATACCAGTCTTGTTTAAAAATATAATTTTAAAATTAAATGTAAGAACTTTATTGAACGTGAACAACATTAACCAATAGTTTAAGACAGTATAGAAACTAAAATCAAACAAAAGGACCTTTTATAGTCTTCATTGAGATCCTCTACATAAAATCCTATCTTTAAATTTGTTTTTATGGTGGTTAAACTTAGAAACTTTAGTACTGGAAACTATGTAAATAATGGTGTGATGAGAGTAGTAGCAAAAATGAAAGCACTCCTAAATGGTGTTTACAAGGGCCCAAATAACAATATGCTCCAAATAACGATATGCTCCGTGACCTTTTGTCTAGACTCCTACTAGCAGGGTAAGAGAAAAAACAAAAACAAAAACAAAAAGGCCATTTCATTCAGTGGAAAATTACTTTGTAGTGCCTGGATATAATAATTCTAAAAGCTAATGTTTAATATGGGCAACAGACAAAACAATTTTCAAGCACACAACTATTGAGAAATGACTGTTAAGAATCATTGAAATGACTGAATCAAGGTAATTATATTGGGTCATAAATTAACATCCAACAGAAAATGTCAAAATAATTTTTAAAAAATGACATTTCAAGCTTACTTTTGAAATTTTTCAATTAATTTCTTCACCATTTTATCTGTGATGCCAGGACAGGCGGTTTCAGCCACAGCAATACTTTTCTCAAGTTCTTCAATTGCCTGATTCCTGCTGGCATTATTCTCATCCTGTTGTTTAAGCTGAGAAAGATCAATAGCTATAACATTTAAAATTACTATACTTCTTAAAATACATATCCAATGCTGTTGAATCTGTACTTACTTCAGCAAACGCAGGAGTGATTATCATAGACAAACAGCTCAGGGTTTGCACAAGGTCTTGCTCCTTTGAATAAATTATATAGATTATTCACATGAAATCATTGGGTTGTCGGAAGTCATGACGCATTTTTGCAACGAAAAACATAGAAAAAATACGTCATGACTTTTCTGACAACCCAATAAAATAATCATTCATGGTTTTCTTTTTTGAATCCTCTCCCCAAAAGATCCAATACAAGGCAAGTCTCCATGCTTTCTTCCCATCACTAATTCCCATCCATCATCCAGAAGGTTTCTAACTTACAATAGATATTCACGATTCCACTGGATTTATGTATCTCTAGGTAAAATGCATTTAAAAATAATACCAATGGCCACTTCTGTGACCTTTTCTTAATTAGCTCAAAATTAATGGCAAATGAAGCATACTGTGGACACAGTGAGGTAGGCATTTAGGGTTATTAAATTCCAACAATTTTGGTCATCAACTTAGATCTCACTAAGTTTAGAGAAATCTATCAAAAGGAAGTGATCATCTTCATGTACATACAGCCCCATTTTGCAGTTTCTTTGGATCAGGCTTCTTTCGCACGGTGGTAAAGCTCCATTCAGGATGAGTATTATTTTCCCTGCTAGTGGATTCCCTAAAAAGATTACCAAAGATATTTCTGTAAGTTTCTAAATTATTAAGCTTGGTGAGAATGCCAAATCAATGCCGTCAAACTGAAAACTGTCCCAATGCACAAAAAATGAGTATAAAAAAGCATTTGATCTCATTTTCAGGTAGATACTACATTTCACTGAAGAGTAGCAGTGGTTCTCAACTTTTAATTATGCATCACACTCACATGTGGAGACCTCTTACCATATGTAAAGCCCTGTATTTTACTCTCCCCACTGACTGAATCAGGATCTCCTGTAGTGTGGCTTGTGATTCTTTTTATTTTAAGGCTCCATGGGCAACTCTCATGGGCAGCTAAGGCCAACAACCATTAGAACAGGGTACAAAGACTATCCTGGTATTTTTTATCCCTTTCAAAAGTTGGGCAATTTCTCATAAATGCATGACTCTGAGAGCATTTCAACCAGTGGGAGAGTAAATTCTGGTGTAACCTACAGACTTTTCTAATATAAATGAAGTGATGGATTTAGAGGCTAAAATGTTAATGTAAATGCTGCAGTTAAAAAGCAGTGCAACTTTTTAGGGGGGTACATATCATATATAAACACAGCAGGTCCTCAAATAATGTCGTTTCATTGTAACGTTGATGAAGAAAATGAAAATTGATTCCTTGCCAGGGCAACTATCTGTGTGGAATTTGCATTCTCCGCATGTCTGTGTGGGTTTTTCCAAGGTCCTCCAGTGTGCTCCCACATCCCAAAGGTGTGCATGTGAGGTGAACTGGTGTGTCTAAGTTGTCCCAGTCTGAGTGAGTGTGGGTGTGTGTGGTGCACCCTGCAGTGAAAGGGTGTCCTCTCCAGGGAGGGTCCCACTTTGTACCCTGTGCTGCTGGGAGAAGCTCTGGTCACCCCCAGACCCTGAACTGGAGTAACCCGATTGGAAAATCATTATCTGATTTGTTTGTATTCATTCATCTTTCTTAAATGTATATAGAGCACATTTATTTCAATGCTTTATTTAGGAGTTTGGTGATGTTTTTGTGACCAGAAGTATGTCTTAGGAACTTAACTCTTGTTTCTATTGATTAACCTATGGGAAATTGATTTCATTATAAGACATTTTGCTTAACATTGCAGTTTCCAATCAAAAACCTATCAACAATATTGAAGACTTACTGTATTTAAGTGTACCAGTCTGATCATAGTTTGGTCCTTGGCCAAGAGGTAGGAAAGGCCTGAAGTTCAGGTCTCCAGAGGGATTTTGCAGGTTGCCAACAAAGTATGAGACAGTATAGCCCCTTATCACTTTGGGCAAACTAATAGAACACCTTTAATCAAATCTTGTTCCAAAATTTTGTAATATACTCAAGTATCCACTAGGGGATAGACTGAGACCATTTAAAACTATAGCAATTCACTTCTAAGAAAAACATGTTTTCAAATTCATTATACTCCAGGCTGTGATTTTAAAAGATCTTCATAGTTTCTAAAGTGAAATGTTAGAATATAGATTATATTTTATGCTAGAGAAAGCATATGAAATCACAGTTTAAGGATATACAATATTAAAATGGGCTATCTAAATAAAAATTAAATAATTTATACATACGAATCGGAGCCCTCAGAATCAGATTCATCATCACTGTGTCCTTCTGCCTTCCATCTCTTAAATCGATCTATCAGTTCAGTCAGATAAGAAGTCTTCTTTGAATTTTTTACAATGAATTTGTGTTTCAGAAGTTCTTTAGCTGTAGGACGCTAAGGAAAAAATGAAGTATGCATGAATATTTCTAGACTATGAGTGCAACGGGTGGTAAGAAATTATTTCAATTTTTAAGCTGAAAAGTGTAAAAGCATGTCTGTAGACATGAGGGCAACTACAATGCTATAGGACAATAGCTAATTCTATTTTTAAGTGGCTCAAGGCAATCAAATTAAATTCACTGCTTTGGTACCAATTTGTTAAAGCCCAATGGGCAAAAAGTGGCCTACCTACCAGCAAACTGGCCTTCTCAAAAGCAGAGAAACACATGGAAAGATTTTGAAAATAATGTAAAATTTGAAAAACATCTCACAATGGTGCTTTAAAATACTTTTATTATATTTATTGGAAATTGAAAAAAAATAGGACGAAAATTAGTAAGGCTTTGTAACTTTATTAGCTGAACACATTGTATGATCCCCAGATTAATTCATACTGCATCTAAATACAAATACCAGGTACTGTGGGGAATATATTTCCTTCTTTGTATTTTATTCATATCAGAATTTTCATTATCAACTTAAAAAGTTACATCAAACTTATACAATTCTTGCATATTTCTAGTTTCTAGAAGTCATCGGACAGCTTTATTTTATTTTTCAATTACAGTTGATATTTAATATTATTTTATATTCGTTTCAGGTGTACAGCATACTCATTAGACATTTATATAATTTAAGAAGCAATCCCCTGATAAGTCCAGTACCCACCTGGCACTATATAGTTATTACAATATTATTGACTATATTCCCTATGCTGTACGTTACATCACTGTGACTATTATGTAACTTCCAATTTGTACTTCTTAATCCCTTCATCTTTTTTACCCAGCCTCCCAAGCTCCCGCTCATCCAGCAACCATCAATTTGTTCTTTGTATCTATGAGTCTGTTTCTGTTTTCTTTGTTCATTTATTTTATTATTTAGATTCCACATATAAGTGAAATCACATTGTATCTGTCTTTCTCTGTCTGACTTATTTCACTTAGCATAATACCCTCTAGGTCCATCCATGTTGTTACAAACGGTAAGATTTCATTCTCTTTTATGGCTGAATAATATTCCATTGCATATATGTACCACATCTTCTTTATCTAATAGTCTATTGATAGGCATTTAGGTTGCTTCCATATCTTGGCTGTTGTAAATAATGGTGCGATGAACATCGGGGTGTATATATCTTTTTGAATTAGTGTTTTAGGTTCTTCAGATAAATACTCAGAAGTGGAACTGTTCAGTCATAAAGTAGTTCTATTTTTAATTTTTTGAAGAAGCTCCATACTGATTTCCATAGTAGCTGCACCAATTTACAATCTCACCAAAAGTCAGGCAGCTTTATTTTAAAAGCAGTCAAACAACTGTAATCAAATTTGCTAGGTAAATGAATGGAGCTCACTAGACTTCAGGAAAAGTATACTTCATGTTGGAATTTCTAAACATTAATTTGAAAATAGTAAAATGCAAACATAACTTTTCACGAAAAGTGAAAACACAGTTGAATAAAAATCATTGTGAATAGTTAGTTACACATATACTTTAATGATGATATCCTAATTAAGTGAATTTTATTTCTCAAATTTCTTTCCCCCTGAAGTAAGAAATGATCAACAGAATAAAGAAGAAGCTAGGGGCCATGAAAAACAGAAAACGATAGAAGGGAAGGAGAAAAGGAACTAAGGATCTTGTTAAGAACTGAACAAAATTAGCAATATAGAGGGAAGAACAAGGTTCCTGTATGGATCTTAGACAGTTTTCACATGCACTGTATTCCTCACTGTAGGAAAAAGAAAACACAAAAAACATTTGTTCTATGTAGATGTGATAAGAAACAACAGTAGTAACAGGAATATATACTCACAAATGATGGATCTTTGTTCAGGCAAGCATCAATAAACTCCTTAAAGGACTTAGTAAAGTCTCCAACAAGAGTTGGAGGATTGTTTTTTGGAATAAGAAACAGAACTCTCATTGGATGCATATCAGAGTTAGGTGGCTCTCCCTTGGCTAGTTCAATAGCCGTAATTCCCAATGACCAAATGTCGGCCTAAAGTAGAAGAAAGAAAAAAAGTTATCTTGAAACTCCATTCCAACATACTGTCACAAAATAGCCTGTGGAATCTAATGGTCATATAATATTAAAGTGCCTCAAGCAATGTGAAGTTAATACATTTTTATTAATAAAATTCATTTATTAAAAAAAGTATCAAATTCCCTACTTTGTACCAAGTACCACATTCTGGGCACTGAGGATTCAGGTGATGAATAAACCACCCAAAAATCCTCTCCAGGGGCTTACGTTCTAGCAGAAGAGAAAGATAAAGAAATAATATGATGTCTGATGGTGCTAAGTTCTGTGAAGAGAATGAACTCAGGATAAGGAAATAATAAATGATGCGGTCAAGGGCCTGCCATTTTACACAAGATGGCTAGGGAAGACTACTCTGAGGAGGTAATGTTTAGAGCAGAGAGCTGATTGGGAGGAAGGTTATTCCAGATAGAGGGAAGGGCAAGTGCAAAGGTCTTGAGGCTAGGGTGTACTTGCTATGTCTGTGGAACAGCAATAAGGCCCCTGTGGCTGAAGCAGATAGAATGTAGAGGAGAGTGAGAGGAGATGAAGCTGCTAAGGCAGACAAGGGGCAGATCCTAGTGAGCCAGGTATACGATAGTAAGGACTTTGGATTTTATTCCAAGTGGGATGGAAGGAAATGGAAGGGAATAGGGTCTGAGTATTACCAGCATCAAGGGAACTTATAATTTAGCAGCAACATTTGACATAACTCTAGCTGTAGAAATAATTTAAAAAGAAGGAAAATTAAGGCAGAATAGGATAGTATGTTATAGAAAAGTTATTATTAAAAACAGAACAGGGCCGGGCGAGTGGCGCATTGGTTAAGAGCTGGCTTAGGACGCCAGAGGTCCCCGGTTCAGATCCCATATATGAGGGCCAGTGACATTGCCCTCTACAGCTAAGATGCTGAACAACAAGTCAACTGGGGCTGGGCTGCTGTGAGTCGCCCGCGAAGGCGTAGGCTTCAGCCCCTGCTGCAGTGGGTTGCCATGGGCTACCGTGTGTAGCCAGCAGCCAGTGTGAGCGGCCAGCAGCCGCCATGAGCGGCCGTCCAGAAGCCGGCGACTGATCTGCCTCGCCCGGGAAGAGCGCAATGATGGTGCCAACTTGCACCAGTGAAGCAACGTCCTCCACAACTAGACTGATGAACAAAAAGGAGAGCAACTTGTCTGTTCCCCTTCCCCCAATTCCCCAATAAAAATCTTAAAAAAACCCCAAAAAACAAAAAAGAACAGTTGATACAGGTAACACTTTACTTTTGAATCATAAGCTGACTGTTGAATAACTTCAGGAGCCATCCAAAATGGTGTTCCCACAAAGGTATTTCTTTTAATTTGTGTATCTGTCAGCTGGCCAGCAACTCCAAAGTCAGCAAGTTTAACATCTCCTTGTTCTGACAGCAAGACATTGGCAGCTAGGAGGGAAAAACAAATAAAAGCAAAACAAAGTGAAAAGAACCTTAGCTTTCTCAGTGCATCTATTTTTCTCAGGTTCATATTAGATTTTTGTATACCTTTTATGTCTCGGTGAATTTTCTTTTCTGAATGCAGATAGTCCAGACCTTTCAAAATTTCCTTTAGCATGGTAGCGATCTGGAATTCATCAAATGGACCAGCTCGCAGCTTAGGGGAAAACACACATACACATACATGTATGAAAGTTTGGAACAATCAAGTTCAAACTTCATATTATCTTTGAAATAAAGGAATCACTTAGATGTATGAAGCAGTTCTGGTTCTTAAACCAATATTTAAACCAAACCAATGAGAAAAAATTTAAAAGGTGAAGGAAGAGAGTAAACATTTAAAAAGTTAAGTCAAAGGGCTGGGAGAGTTTTAAATTATTGGGTTTAATCTTGAAAGATATTAATGCAGGCAGTATTACCTATATGCTAGCTCCAAATACTGAGGTTCTAAATACTGGGTCGTCGGGAAAGTAAAGACTTATTTTTCTATGTTTTTAATGCAAAAATGCGTCATGACTTTCCCGACGACCCAATATTTACATCACAAATTTAAGATATGCTTAAATAATGACAAAACTAGCTTTCTTTTTTGACAGACAGGAAAAGAGAAATCACCTACTTGAATTTTGGCATTTGTTTAAAATTAATTAAATATTCACACTGAACTGATTTTTAGCTCAGACTGTCTTTAAGATTTCTGCCACAACCCAATTTGATCATATAAGTCAGCTCTAGCACAGTTCCTAGCATTTATGTATTTCAATAACATTGTGAAAGCATGGAGACTTCTTATGACTCAAATTTAAAATTTAGCCAGGAGAATAATAATTAAACTATTCAGACTTTAATTGTAAAAAAAAAAAAGATCAAATCATGGAGGGATATGGTTTTTTAAATAAATGTAACACATTTCCCTTTATTTCCCCATCCCTGTACCAAAGCCAATAATTCCAACTGGAATACAAGGAAAGCAATGATTAGGTTTCAGAGAACTTGTAATGGAATATCTGAAAATCACTCTTTAAAATAAATGGTTATTTTAAAATTCTGGTACCTCATAAAGCACAAACGGTAGACTGTACAATATTATTACAGGAAAGGGTGGGAAACTAAAGTCAGAACTGTGGTAGAGTTCTGTTTGCTGGAATGAAGGAAGAGGTAGTGAAAATCAAACACTGACCACTCTGCCTCACACTGGGAGGGATTCACAACCCTTTGGCACCTTGTGTATTTCATCTTTCATGAATGCCATATTTATTCTGAATAAAGGGCGATTTCATGTTGAACTTTAACAGCTTAAAATAGAACCCATATTTTGGTCTCACCATTTAATATTAACTGTGGTCTGGATATATAGTATACTGCAAGGACATCTGTAGTTCAATAGGTGCCTTTCCCGGATAACATTGTCTATTTACTTTCACATCTATAAACTTCCAGCCCAGAAGTTTCTATTTAAATTGCAGTGAATAGATTCTGGTCAAGATGGTGGAATAGGTTGCCTCCTCCCACGACCACCTTAAAATTACAACTAAATGACAGAAAAGCCATCATTGAGAATTGCCTGAAGTTTAGCTGAACAGAAGTCCTATAGTGAAGGATATATAGAAGTAGCCACCTCAAGACTGGTAGGAGGGGCAGAGACATGAAAAAGGCCGGTCCCACACCCACATGTGGCAGTTAAAAATTGGGATGAATATTTTGGCTGTGAAGGTACCCCTTGAAGAGCAAGAGGTCCCAGCCCCACACCAGGCTACCCAGCCCAGGGCTCCAGTGTCAGGAAGCGAAGTCCCCACAACCTCTAGCTGTGAAAACCAGTGGAAATTATGGCTGAGTGAGACAGAGGTCGGCTGGAGTCCCAGGCACTGCTCTTAAAGGGCTTGTGCAGGGATTTACTCGCTGACAGACTCATTTGCTCTGAGCTCCAGCACTAGGACAACAGCTCAAAAGGCACCAGTGACAAACAGGGAGGAACTGAATTGCCTGGTTTCAGGGTGAAGGCTGGAGGGACAGCTTTCTCCCAGGCAGAAGTGCGGGCAGAAGCCACTGTTCTTTGTTGAGCCCAGCCCTGACCATGCCTTCACACTCAGGTGGGTGCCAAGTCTGAGTCTCCATCAACCTAGCTAACATAATTCCCTCCACCCTGGCGATTCCCTTAGACCCCACTCCACCCAACTTGTGGACCCACCCAAGCCACTTCCAGCAGCTTTTCCATACAAACGTCTGGTCTTGGCTTATGCTAAGGACTTTCCTAAAATCTCTCAAAGGCCCACAAACCCCTAACTAGCAGCATCTGGACTCAGTGTGTCCTATACCTCCTGCTAAGCAGCCCTAAAGCCAGTACTAGTGGAAGCTTAGTCACTCCCACACTTCCAACCCAAGCACAAGCGGCAACCATGTGCTGATCCCTTTGCAGTTCATACCAAGTGGCCTCAGGCAGGGCAGGCAGTGGCTGACCTTGGCTCACACCACAGCCCCCACCAAGAGGCCCCAGAACCAACACACCCAGTGGCCAGCTTTAGACCACACCACAGCACCACCCAACCACCTCCATAAATGACACACCCAAAGGGAAGACTTGGCAGGCAACAGTGTCTTGCTAAAGTGAGTACTGCTCCGTAGGGTCAGCCCCTGTACAGCACCTCCTCCACTGTAGTCACCGCCAGTCTGCACAATCAGTCAGCCCGTAAGTCAGTCCCTCCCATTGATGCAACCAAGGATCAACTACAACAGGAGGGCACACACAACCCACACCTGGAGCACCCGGCTCAGGTGACCAAGGATATTGTGCTGCTGGCCCCCACAAAACACCTGCTACATAAGTTCATTCTACCAAAACTGGGAGATGTAACAGCTCTACCCAATACATAGAAACAAACACAGTGAGGCAGCCAAAATGGGGAGACAAAGAAACAAGTCCCAAATAAAAGAACAGAACAAAGCTCCAAGAAAAGAACTAAACAAAATGGAGACTAGCAACCTACCAGATAAAGAGTTCACAACACTGGCTATAAGGATGCTCAGTGATCTCAGTGAGAACTTCAACATGGAGATAAGAAACATAAAAACGGATAGAAAACATAAAAAAGAACCAGTTGGAAATAAAGAATACAATAACTGAAATGAAGAATGCATTAGAGGGAATCAACAGTAGATTAAAGGAAGCTGAGGATCAAATCAGTGATTTAGAAGATAAGGTAGCAGAAAACACCCAATCAGAACAGCAAAAAAACCCAAAAAAACAAACCAACAAAAAAAACAACAATCCAAAAATAAATGAGGATAGTCTGAGGGGCCTCTAGGACATTACGAATCACACCTACATTTGCATTATAGGGGTACCAGAAGGAGAAGAGAGAGAGCAAGGAATTGAAAGCCTATTTGAAGAAATAATGATGGAAAACTACCCTAACCTGGTGAAGGAAATAGACATACAAATTCAGGAAGTGCAGAGAGTCCCAAACAAGATAAACCCAAACAGGCCCAAAACCAAGACACATCATAATTAATATGCCAAAGGTTAAAGACAAAGAGAGGATCTTAAAAGCAGCAAGAGAAAAGCAGTTAGTTACCTGCAAGGGAGCTCCCATAAGACTGTCAGCTGCTGTCCCAACAGAAAATTTGCAGGCCAGAAAGGATTGGCACGGAATATTCAAAGTGATGAAAAGCAAGCTCCTACAACCAAGATTACTCTATCCAGCAAAGCTATCATGTAGAATCATAAAACAGATAAAGAGCTTCCCAGACAAGAAAAAGTTAAAGGAGTTCATCACCACCAAACCAATATTATAAGACATGTTAAAGGGACTTCCTTAAGAAGAAAGAAAAAATATATGATTAATAAAATGGCAACAACTACATATCTATCAACAATTACTTTAAATGTAAATGGATTAAATGCTGTAATCAAAACAAATCCTTACATATGCTGCCTACAAGAGACTCACTTTACATCCAAAGACACTCACAGACTGAAAGAGGTGGAAAAGATATTTCATGAAAATGGAAATGAAAAAAAAAACACAAAAGCTGGGATAGCAATATTTACAACAGACAAAATGACTTTAAAACAAAGGCTATAACAAGCGATAAAAAAGGATTTAATATCCCACTTCTAGGCATTTACCCAGGGAAACCCAAAACACTAATTCAGAAAGACATACGCATCCATATGTTCATTGCAGCATTATTTACAATAGCCAAGATATGGAAGCAATCTAAGTGTCCATTAATAGGTGGATGCACAAAGAAGAAGTGATACATATATATTGGGTTGTCAGAAAAGTCATGACGCATTTTTGCAATGAAAAATATAGAAAAAAATATGTCATGACTTTCCCAACAACCTAACACAATGGCACATTACTCAGCCATAAAAAAGAATGAAAGCTTGCCATCTGCAACAACATGGATGACCTAGAGGGTATTATGCTGAGTGAAAAAAGTCATACAGAGAAAGACAAATGCCATATGTTTCACTTATATGTAGAATCTAAAGAACAAAATAAACAAACAAAAAACAGAAACAAACTCGTAGATACAGAGAACATTTTGAGGGTTGCCAGATGGGAAGTGGGTAGGGGGCGATGGGTGAATGCGGGAAGGGATTAATAGAACAACTTGGTAGTTACCAAATTGTCATGGGGATGTAAAATATAGCTTATGGAATATAGTTAATAGTATTGTGATAACTATGTATGGTTATTGGGTATTAGATTTATCGGGGTGATCACTTCATAAGTTATATAAATGTGTAATCAGTATGTTGTACAACTGAAAATAATATAATATTGTATGTTAACTCTAATTGAAAAATAAAACATTAAAATTAGTAGTGATTAAAGTCATCCAAAAAGGTGAAAATGGCATATTATTTTATTTATTCCTGGCAATGAAATTCTGAGATACTACCAAATAACTGAAAGGCAAATGTCATACTACTCAAGATTAGTACTTAGTATCACTGATCATAAAATGTTGACAGGGACAGAGGAGGTATACTCTTAGTTACTTAAGAAATTGGGCAAGGTCCATATAAGGGGCACAAGCTATCATTCTGAAGAACTAAAACTAGCCTGGATAAACCAGTGTATTACCTAAATAATTTAAAAATATATATTTAAGTAAAAACAAACAAAAAAGGTGTTCTAAAGACCCATGAGCATATCTGGTATATTTAGGTTCAGTGTAAAATTCAGTAGATATAAAATTTCAATTAACTGGGCACTGGAAGAAGATGAGAGAAGAGGCTTTATGGCAGGGAAATGGGAATGGAGTGGTGGTACAGGTGAGTTTTTCTGGTTCATTATCAGACAGAAAACTATCTCAAACCTTATGGCTAAAATGGTTCCTTAGCCATGTTGATAATGATTAGAAAAGGAGAAAAAAGACAGTTGGAAAGAGAAGGAAATTAGAGTAGATGGAACAGAGATTGTTTTTCATTTCTAATGCAACCCTAGGAGAGACAATGCCAAGATCTTGGTCCACTGTACTTGGAGTGCATAATTGAACTTCTCTCCAATGACTGAAGACCATGCCCATGTCTCTAATAGCTAATACCTCTGTCTCCAGGGCAGTGTACCGGCCTTGGGAAATTTGCCTTTGTTGTCAACTGAGATATGTAAGAGAGGGAGGTTTGCTCTTTCAAAGAATGTATGCTTGTGGGTTCTGGGATTTTCCTGACTTCTAGCCTGTTCCAAATGCAGCATGTTATATTATGCCTTCTCTTACAGTTAGCATATCACTTCCAACTTTTTTCCTTGGTGCTCATGTTTTATTTTCTTAGTCTCATTATATATGTGCTTTTGCTGTAAGCTACTACAATTCTTATTGAAGAGGAGCGAGGTGTAATAAATCCAATCAAATGTCATACCATACGCTTAAAGTCTGGTGACATACAACTAATTTTTTTCAAGAGTGGGAGAGAATCTTGAAGTATACACTATGTCATGTTGACATAAATTACAAGTTTTAAGTCATATTCCATTAGTCAGGTACTAGTTTAAAGTGATACACACTCTGCTCAGCAACCCTCTCGTTCTGTCTTATTCCTGGTAGCCTAAGCTTCTAAGCCTAATCCTTTATTAGAGTCCCCAGATGATAGCATTCATTTGTATAGACATGGAGAAGAAATGTCTCATCATTTGCTCTCTCTACAATGTCCAGTTAAATGAGGTTTGTAAATAAATTGCAATATTATTAAATTTTAGAGCTAGGAAAATTAAACTACAGATATTATTAATCTAATTTCTTCATTTAACATTTGAGGACATTAGGCATAGAGGTTAAATGGCTTGTCCAGTATTAGGCAGCTAGTCCATGGCAGAACCAGGACTGGGACCTAGGTCTCTTGATTTTCAGCTATTACAAGGTGAAGGAAATTTTAATTTCATTGGATGTATGCAAAATGGCATTTGTTCTATTAGGCAGAGATCAGAATGGCAGGATGAGCTTAAGATCTCACAATCATTTCCTTCAGAGATGACCAAACTACTACTGGGCAATACACATTGCGTTAGTTAGGATTGGGCCAGTATCCAATGCTTAAAATTGCTATCAGTGATCCTGATGAAAGCAGTGGACCAGTTTTTTCAATGCCTACAAAACAAGGAGGCGACATGGTGAGCTCCTTGGGGGACCAGGTAAGGTTAACTGATAAATTTGGAAAGGTCTCTTACTGTTTAAAGAGTGGAAGGAAGATCAGAGAGAAATTGTGAGGCTTCTTGTGAAGCTAATAAAAAGACTACTGCATTATAAAACTATGTGACAACACAAATAGAAATGAGATCATTTAACTTCAACAGGAGAATATGACTCCATATGAATGAAGGATTATTATACAAAGAAATACCCGTTGTGTTTTCTCACTAGAGAGGAGGGGGAAGAAAAAAATGAGTTCTAGCTTTAGGATATAAGAATTAGATTAGACACAAGGAAGAATCACTTAACTTAGCAACTGATTAAACTAAGTCAAACTCCTAGAAGGAGATGAGACTCTTCACCAAGTTTAACTACCATTTGTTTAGAATGGTTTAAGCATTATCCTGTCTAAAGAAAAGAAAATCTCTTATGGTCGTTTCCACATAGGATTATATGAAACTTTGAGTTATTGGCAGTCAAGATTAAAGCCTTTTAAAAATATCTAATCGCTTTCAGTTAGGAAAACTCACCTCCACTTTAAAAAATAAGAATTAAAATATTACTTGATGATTTTAATCATCAAAACATTATTTTTAGAAAGAGCATACTCTATAATTTCAAAGGCAGAAGCATACTAATAAAATATGTCATATAATATTATAGATGGAAGATAACTTAAAAATAACTCAGTGCAACTTCTTTGTTTTATAGGACATCCAAGTGCAAGGTATTTATGAGTTTGGTTCAATCACAGATTTAGTTATGAATAGAGCCATCCCTATAACTTCAAACTCCCAGTGGTCATTCCACTACAAAATGTTGTCTCTAGAAATTCATATTGAATTTCAAATACAATGTCATCTTAATAAAGATTGTAAAGGTGTGTGTGGGGGGGAATCAACACTGATAGAATCACACTAATTTGGGGAAAATAACCAGTGTTTCTCAAAGGCATTTTGGGTGTGAACACATCTTCATTGGGTAGAACTTTTCCTGCACACTGCAGGATTTTAACATCCTCATCCCTGCTCACTAAAATGGCTGTAGCACTTCCAAGTCATTGTAACAACTAAAAATGACTTCCCAGTCATTGTAACATCACATTTCCAAATGACTTATAAAGGAGCAGAGAGAACTCTGTAGAGAACTGAGTCTATAGGCCAAGAGCCACTTTTAGTGACAGTTACCTGAATTACATGTTTTTAAAAATCTAAGAACACTCAGTCTTTTCCTGGATACATTTGCAAAGCAAAACTCTCATCAACTGTCACATATTCATTCCTAATTTGGGGGGGCTTCATTTTATTAAGCTATTTGCATTGCTTATACACTCTAAGAATGTCAGCAACATGTTCAATCCTGCAATACAACTGACGTCTACCTAAGGGTAGTGGCCCTTGAACAAAGAATTTAATTTGAAGGTATTAATTAAAGCAACTACTTACCTTGCCCCAAAGCCATTGCTTACTCCAATTAAAAGAAAAAAATTAAACTATGGATGTCTGTGTGTGTGAGTGTGTGTGTCTGCATGTGCGAATTTAAAAATACTTACAAGATCCAGCGCTGAACCGCCACCCAAGTATTCCATTATTATCCATAATTTTGAACCCTGTAAAAGCCACAAAACATTTATAATTACAAACCTGAGCCAAATAACATAGTAGCATAAATATTATATCTGATAAACTAATGTACTGCATTTAAAATCAGGTGTTTAAAACCCCGACTATTATTTTTCCATAGAACTTCACAAATGAAAGTAAAGTTCTGAGTCTTGACATTCCCCCAAACTTACTTATGATATAGCTAGAATAATAACAAGTTATTGTTTCTTATTGTATAACTATTAGCAATTTTTATAAAACCCGGAAAAAATAAACCATAGATTTTTATCTTTTATTTTATTATTATTATTTTTTAATTAATTTCAGGTGTACAACACAGTGCAATAGTTATACTTTTTACCCCTCAAAGTGACAACCTCCCCCCAATCCTCCATCCCTCTCCCCCCATATAATACATATCTATTACAATTCCATTGACTCCACTCCCACACTATACTCCACATCCTGTGACGATATATATATATATATATATATATTCAATTATAGTTGGCATACAATATTATACAACATCAGCTTCAGGTGTACAGTGCAGTGATCAAGCCTCTACACCGTCCATGAAGTGGTCTCCCTAACAAGACATGTGACTATCTGATACCCTACAAAATATTTACAACATTAATTATATTCCCCGAACTGTCTTTCATACCCCTGTGGCAATATTGTAGCTACCTATTTATACTGTCTAATCCCTTCCCCTTCTCCTTCGTCCCCACTCCCCTCCCAACTAGCAGCCATCAGTTTTCCTCTATGTCTTTGAGACTATTTCTGTTTACTTTGCTCGTTCAGTTTTTTAGATTCCACATATAAGTGAGATCATATGGTGTGTCTTTCTCCGACTGACTTATTTCACTTAACATAATATCCTCTAGGTCCATTCATATTGTTGCAAATGGTACGATTTCATTCTTGTTTATAGCTGAGTAATACTCCATTGTATAAATTTACCACATTGTTTTAATCCAGCCATCTACCGATGGGCATTTTGGTTGTTTTCAAGTCTTGGCTATTGTAAATAGTGCTGCGATAAACATAGGGGTGCATATATTTTTCCAAATTAGCGTCTTGGGTTTCTCTGGATAGATACCCAAGAGTGGAATTGCTGGGTCATAAGGTAGTTTCATTTCCAGTTTTTTGAGATACCTCCATACTGATTTCCATAATGGCTGCACCAATCTACAGTCCCACCAACAGTGCACCAGGGTTCCCTTTTCTCTACAACCTTGCCAGCACTTGTTGTTTGATTTATTGATGATAGCCATTCTGACCGGAGTGAGGTGGTATCTCATTGTGTAAACCATAGCTTTAAATTATTATTTTGAATGATAATATTGAAGGGAAAAGAAAGATACATTAAAGAATGAGGTAGTAAATGGAGACTTGTAGAAATTTTGAATGGGGCTTTATAGTGAGGACCTGGATATTTTGCCTTATTTTAGTTTTTGGCTTTTGTTTTAATACACTTTAGAGCCTTTAGCAGCCATGATTAATGGGCATTTTTCATACACATGTGGAATCTAGGAAGAATATTATGCCCCTGCATAGGTAAATGGATAAGAGAAAGGGAATGTATAGCTTAAAAAGAACATGATTACTCCAGGTAGAGTTAACTCACTATAAGATGTATAAGAGGAAATGTGGTTTATAGGGGGAGTACATATATGTGATTTCCAAAATAGTTGCATATGCGTGCACGTACACACACACACACACCATTCAGCACTATCAGATAAAAATTGGAATAAACCATTCTTTTTTCTTTCTTCTTTCAACTATAGCTTGAAATCCTAGGGATACCTCTCTCCCCATACCATTTCATCAGCAGTATTCTATGAATTTTTGTGGGACCACAGAGTTGACTGGAAGAGGAATGGTTGGTTTTACTATACTGGCAAGTAAGCAAGTTGCGAACGGATTGTGTTTCACAAGTCCGTTTTTACGTAAGATGTTTGGAATTTGGAAAGCAAGCATTTTCCCATAAAAATGTTGTCTAGTTTCCTGGGGTAGTCCCCCAAAAGAAAATTTATCACAAAGGTATCCACAGTATAGCATGAAGAGTAGCGGAGAAACTAACTACTATTTATACCATAACAATGTTTCTAGGGGAAAATATATTCAGTGTTGTGCTTCAACTTGGATGCCAAGAACACCTCTCTCACCCCAGCTGTGGGATGAAGATTCTCAAGCTACTGCCAGTAGCTCTCCAAGTCTAAAATCTCTGGGAAGTACACAGAAGCTCCATTCAAAATGTCCAAGCATCTCCATGAGGCTGGGGCTGTATTATATAGCAGACAATAGATTCCAGTAACATGTTGATGAGCGTTTAGTGAAATTGTAGTGTGTGGAATGGGATACAGCTTATGGTTAGGGACTAGGGAGGGAGGGCTCAGTTAATTTAAGATGAAAGGATTCCTCCTTTCTTTCTTGATATTCACACTGTGTAGGATGTATAAGAGAAAGAGAGGAACAATGTGCCCTCCCCCCAATCTTGGCATCTACTGTCTCCTGTCACAGCAGGGCAGCTTGAACTGAGGAAAGAAAGAGCTGAGAGTCTTTGCTAGCAGCAGTGTTTACAGTAGGAAAGAGAGGAAATAAATCCCCATTATGGGGGACAGGGGAGAGGAGTTCCAAGGTTGGTTCATGTTAACTCGTTTTTATGTATAGAAATCAGGCACGCCAAACCTGAGAATTATGAACCTGATGTGTCCTTATACTCTTTTTTAAGAAAAAAGTGTCTCCCACAATGCTGTATAGCCTGAGAATGTTTTCATTTGCCACAAGTTTGTTTCTAGTATGTACAATAGTCTACCTTATGAATTCACAATGCATCCCATTCACCTGACATTTAAAAGAAAAATAAAAGAATCTTGTAAAACATGTTTATCTCTTTTGCAGTTCTGCATGAATGAAAGCACCTGTTTTCCAAGCTTAAAAACAATGTGTGTGTGTGTGTTTGGTAAAGATTCAAAACAGAAACTTACCAACCATCTGTTCTTTACTAAAAAATATTCATAGAAAGCTTAAACTGTGATTCAAGTTATAACTAAGCAACTTCCAGATCTGAAAAGAAGGTTTCCTCCTAGCAAGTGAAGTTTTTCAGTGGAACTAGGATTCTTCTGAGACAGGCAGAGAACCAGAGCTGCCCGATGGCTTTTCTGGCTGCTTCCTTCTGATCACCACTTCCGGAGACAAGCCTCACTGGAGGATGGTAATAGGTCTGGACATTCAGAAGATTGCGGGGCAGGCATGGGGACTGAAGCAAGGCCTGAGTGGGCATAGGCATCAATGGTGAGCTAGTGAGGTTCTTCCCTGCTCAAGGAAGCTTAACCCACAGGGGCTCTTCTTACCAGTTCCTTGTTCACAGCAGGTCTCAATGAAAACTCCAATCACAAACAAAGCAAGACTAAAAAGCCTATACCCTACGTTTGTAATTTTTTTGGGGGGACTACAATTTCTACCTTTGATTTATGGTAAAAGATGTTTGTGTTGGAGAATGCAAGTAAGTATGTTTGGTTTGCTTTTAAATGATTTAAAAGGCTAAGATAATATCTACATACTGGTTTACAATTCCAAAAGAGCCAAGCGAATGGAAACCATAACAGTACATCCGGCACATTTAAGCATAGGAAGTCCCTGAAGGAAAAACTCCAGTTTCTCCACTTAGAAAATGATCCACACATTTTCACAGTGGGTTGGAGGAGTAAGTTTTAAAGTCCTGCATCAACATGGGTGGTCAGTTAGGGGTTAGGAAATGGCTCTCTGTTCCAAAATTTGAAACGCCTAAAAAGTATTCTAGAATTGTACTATTTACTGAGGAGAGGTTGGAGCCTAGTGTTAAGAAATTCCTGGTGTTTGAAGTACTAACTCTGTCACCCTGTGAGGCCTTTCAACCCAGCTGTTTGCTGCTAAAGCAGACAGTTGGCCAAAGGAGAGAGAAATGCTGCTGTGGAATTTGGAATTCCTTTGCTCATAGAAAAATATATTTAAAATACTCCTTATATGTATTTGAGAGATCGTTATGTATTGTACTACATAACAAGTATATGTTGAATTAAGTGGGCTGGTCTATAAATCCAACAGCCAATCATAACATTGACCACATAAGCCAGCATGTATACATAAAATAAGCCAGTCACTAAAGGATAAATGTTGTATGATTCCACTTATATAAGGAACCTAGGGTAGTGAAATTCATCATAGACACAGAAAGTGGAATGGTGGTTATCAGGGACTGTGGTGAGGAGAGAATGAATGGGCAGTTATGGTTTATTATGTGCAGTTTCAGTTGAGGAAGGTTAAAAAGTTCTGGAGATGGATGGTGGTGATGGTTATATAACAACCTGAATGTACTTAATGCCACAGACTTGTACACTTAAAATGGTTAAAATAGTAAATTTTAGGATTATAGTTTGCTGCAACAAAAAATAGAACATAAAGTATTATAGAATTGCAAGGGACAGACAGTTGAGTTATCTTGCCAGACACCTTGCCACCTCTGAATTCTTTTCTTCCAATCTAGAATGTCTTGTCTGTACATCACCCTCACATCCCAACCCCCATTAAAATCATTCTCAAGATCTAGTTCAAATGCTACTCCCCAGTTTTAGGGTTATTGCACTGGATGTACCCACAGATAAGTGGGTAATATGAGGCAAGTTAGATATACCTATCTGGGGCTAAGGAGAGAGGCTGGAACCAGAGACATGAATTTAAAAGTTATCGGAATAAAGAGGATGAGACTGACCAGGTCAAATATTTGGAGTGAGAGGAATATACATAGTGGTCACTCAATAAATAAATATCTGCTGAATTGAATCTAATATGGAGCTTCTTAGAGGTGTGTTATATGAAGTTTAAAGCTATTATTATTTTGAGAAAAAAACACTGTAAGAAGGAGAAATTGTTTTCCCTTTTCGACTTCCTTCAACTTTTATAAGAAAACTCAAATTATTTTAAAATTAAAGAATATTCCAGAAACATTCATCAAATACCGGAAGTGAGCACAGACAAGTCTCAGGAAAAATAATGTAAAGGCCACAAAATTGTACAAACTCTATCCTGGAACACTTTGCTTCAATCATTCAGGGGTTTTGTTTTGTTTTTGTTTTAATAAATATCAGTGGTGGTAGTACGTGGAGGAGGGTATACTTCCTTAACATAAACAGAAATATAAAGGCATTTTTCAACAGCAAATAAAGGCACGATTCAAATTATATGCAATGCCTGAGTGAGCTTCATTATAAGATTTACATTGAACTAGAAAAATATTTAAAAATTATAAGAGATTCTTCCAATATTATGAGATCAGAAAGGAAGGGTTTGCTTATTTTAGCACTCTTCATAAAGACTAGCTTTGTCTCTCAAGAAAATCTGCAGTGAACTAAAATTAAAGGAAAATACTGTGGTCATACTGATGTGTTTGTCTGGTTTTTACTCTTGTTTTTAAAAATGAAGTTAAACAGTGAGCTCAGTCAAAATGAATACCTAGTACATTTTTGCATGTCTCAAGGAAATCACTACAACTGCATACAGGTTCAGAGAGTATATAGTTTTCTCTCAAATGAAATAACTTTTCCTGCAGCTTACAGTGAGGTCTTGGTTATATATGATACCCTGTGTAAGGACAACCTGAGAAACACCCATATCCTACTTTACTCAATTGACTTGATTCACAAAATTCCCCATGTCAACTGAAATGGAAGGATGGGTCACAATAAGAACATAAGTTGACTGATAAGGCAGTTCCCTGATGGTACAAGAATGTAGCCTTGAATTACATTGACTTCATTAAACAGAACCCTATTACATTTGATATGATTTTACTTAAAAAAGTGCAGGCCCACAAAGTCACACTGTTTTTATATAAACTATTTACAGTGGCCAAGACATGGAAACATCAAAGTGTCCTTCGATAGATGATTGGATCAAGAAGATGTGGTATATACACACAATGGAATATTACTCTGCCATAAGAAAAGACGAAATACTGCCATTTGCAACAATATGGATGGATCTTGAGATTATTATGTTAAGCGAAATAAGTCAGACAGAAAAAGTAGAGAACCATATGATTTCACTGATATATCGGATAAAAAACTGAAAACAACAGAAGAACAAGACAAACAAATGAAGAAACAAAAACTTATAGACACAGCCAATAGTTTAGTGGTTACTAGAGGGTAAGGGAGGAGGGGGTGGGGGTGAGGGGATGGTGGAGGTAGATGAGGGTAAAAGGGATTAATATATGGTGATGGATGCAGAACTGACTCTGGGTGGTGAACACACAATGTGATAATATAGATGACGTATTACAGAATTGTATACCTGAAACCTATGTAACTTTACTAACCATTGTCACCCCAATAAATTTTAATTAAAAAAAGAAAAGAAACAAGTTGGTCAATTTAAGAAAGTAATTTAAATGGAGTTAAACGGTTATAAAATCATATTTCTTTTTCTCTGTGTGTATATATGTACATCTATATAGAGATAATACACACACATATTTATTTACTTTAATGTAAATAGGTTCAGGATACAAATAATATCAGCCAGCTGTGAATTTCTACAATTTTTCCACGAACTGACATGTTCTTCAAAGTAGTCTTTCATATCATGGACTTTAATGATGAGTAAAGGAAATAAAAATCATTCAGTTTAATCCTTAAAAAGACATCTCGGATAATGGTTTTGTGTCACTGATTGGTGTGAGAACATTCTACAGTCAAGATTTGGACAAAACAAACTATCAGTTTTATTTATTTAAGAATTAAGTATTTATTGGGTGACTGGTACATGTATACTATGAGGGGAATTTTTTAAAAGGGGAAATCTTAGGAATAAATAATACAAACAGAGCTCCAATTCATTTTCCCTGAGAGTACTGAATATGAATAAACTAAGGTGATAAGCAACCAACAAAACAGTCAATACCATTTCAGTACCCATTTTCAATATAATATAGAATAAATAGCCTATTTTAAGTAGGGCTTATTTAATATTTTAAGCTAGTTACCAAAAATACCTTATCTGTTACAGATGCCTAAAAATAGCAAGGGTTCAGGTTTGCTCCAGCGTGGGTCTGGAATTACCAGGATTCAATCCAGAAAGAGTAAACCAGAATGAACAAACATTTCTCTCTGTCTCTGTCTCTCTCTCTCTCCACACACACACACACACACACACACAAGAAAACAAATTTATGGGGCTGCCTACAACTAAATCTGCTATGGGAATTAGTTGGAGGACCTAAAACTATTGAGATTGAGTGACCACTCATAGGATTCCTAAAAAGGAATATGACCTACTAAATAAGCTTCTTAGGAAAGAATATGAATGCAAATATGTCACAAAGAATCAAATAATTATGTATATAGTAAAATGGAGTAATGGCTAACACTAAGAAATAAATTGAACAGGAATTGCCAGCGGTATTACCTTTTCTTGGAAGCCTTCACACCATCCCCCAAAAAGAATATAAGTGACTACTTGCTTGTATATGTGCTCTATTTGTACCTTGTACATACTTAATCACAAAAGCTGCCCTTTTTAGCGCAATATAGGACTGTGAACTCCTTAATGGCAAGAGTGAGTTGTTTCTTTTTTTATCTAGCACCTAGTAAAGTGTATGACACATAGTAACTGTTTGGCTGTTTAATGATTCATTTTACTATGCATTCTTTCCACATTTATCTAATTCATGTAATATTAGAATAAATCAGCATTTGGAAGAAGGTAGGGAAATTGATGAATTTCTGTATCAGTATTAACTAATATATATATATAAATTACCATAGGGTTTATTTGGTCAGAACATAAAAAGGTAGCATTAATTTTTATGCAGGTCAACAGCTTGATAAGTTATAAACATATCCTTTTTGACTTAGAGATAGGTGAACAAAAAACCCAACCAAACAAAAAAAGCCTTCCCCTCTTGTGAACCCTGGAAAGCAAAGATCTAGCTGCCTTCCTTTGAAACTTTTCAACACTGGGATAAAATTTTTTAATTGTAACATAATTTAAATACTAATCTAAGCAAGATTTTTTTCTAACTACTTATGCTTCACATTCAATAGGCATAAATCTAACTTCTAACTCTAGAACCCAAGAACTCTTGGATTTTACTAAAGAGTTTTCTGTTATGCACTAACATCTCCATCTGCTGGAATGTTAGGCGTCTGCTAATTCTATGATCTTGGAAACTAAAAATCCAACTTTTCTTTTTTGGATGGGGGGAGGGCATAGGTATTATTCCATTTAATTTCATTTCAACAAATACTTCTCATGTGCTTAAGATGTGCCATGCCCTGTGCTAAGTGGTGTAAAAACCAAGACTGGTTGAACTAAACTCCCTACCATTAAGGAGCTCACAACACGGAGGGAGAGGGAAATGTGTAAATAACCATCATACCTCAATGGAATAAGTGACATACTTACATATTCCACATATTCCATCAATTCTGAGGTTGAGACAGACTGGACCATTGAGAATAACACGTGAAAGCCCATGGGGGAAGCTCTTTCCTGACAAAGGATATGCCTCAAGGACCAGCTGCATTTCTGCTCCTCCATCAAACCAAAAGTTCAGGTGTAGAAAAATGGTGCAGCTGAGCCCTGGGATGCATTCAGGATGCAGCTGTTAAATCTAAAAACAGTCTATTTCGCGCTCTGAATGGAGCTAGATTCTGCCTGGAGGCCAAAGACTGCCAAATCCTAATTTAAGATATTGCTTTTCAAAAATAGAATTTAAAAAAGAAAGAAAAACTTATAATGCAAATACCTTATGACTTAAATAATATAGCATACACATTACCTTTAAATATGATCCATAGTATTTTGTTACATATGAGCTGTCACACTGACTCAAAACAGTTATTTCTTGCTGAATGTCTTCAATTTCATCTTCGGCTTCCTCAAGGTCTATGATTTTAATAGCAACCACTTGCTGGGTACGGTTATCAATTCCTTTGAAAACTTCTCCAAAGGAGCCTTTCCCAATGCGTTCTAATTTTGTGAACAGTTCTTCAGGATCGGCTATATTATTCTAAGAGGGGGAAGAGAAAGAAAACAAATGTTTTGCATCAAGTTTTTTTAAATGAAGGAAAATAAATCACATATGATATTAACACATTTTTTAAAAGCCTACACAATTCCCTTGACTCTTCACATGTGCTTTGTTACAACAATGTAACCCCAAACCGTCAGCTGGTCCATATTCTACTGGATCACTCACACTAACTGGGTTTAGCTGATCCTGCTCCCACAAACAATGCTATACAGCAAATGTTGTCCCTGATGCCTGCCAAAGGGCCAGGCACATTTTAGAATAAAGCAGCTAGTCATACACAGCTTGTACATTAAAGCTATGGTAGTGATAGTGAGAGAATACCAACCTAAACTACAGGTAGGTGAATCATTAAAAATTCTATCATCCACCAGTAATATATTACCTTTTAACTCTCTTTTTCTCTCTCTAAGTTGGACATCCTGATCACCCCACCTATTCTTTTAAACCACCATGTAAACAACACAGAACACAAAAGACTCAAGAATCTATGAGTCTTTTTTTCTCTTTATTTGCGATCTTATCCATATGCAATGTTCTCATCAATGGCTGAAATAAGATTATATGCCTTTATCATAATTGCTAGTACTCATGAGGAAATGGTAATATGTTGAATTTTCACAATTTATTTCACAGTGGGAATCCAGAATAAGTGACATTTTGCTACAATAAAATCTCTAGTCAAGCATAGGTTTTTAGGTTTACAAATGTATAGGTGTGACTTAGATTTATAAATTCACTGTCCTTTCCTGATTCACAAATATCCTTTATCTTATCATATACAATTCTTAGTTAAAATTCTATTCCCACAAGACATTTATGTGCTTAACTAAACTCATATTGCTGAATATATACTTCTAACCAAGTAGAAAGACAAGATTTCCAAACCTCACCAAAAGACACATTATTAATTTATATTTAAGTGCTTTATGAGTCTATACCTAAAACTTTACTTTGAGTTCCTTCAAATATAAGAGAATGTTATCTAGGTTCTGTGAGCTGTCTATATTTAATTTGTTGGTTGAACCTAGATTGTCTGCTCATGTACTACAATTTTACCTAGTCATTAATTTCAGGAGACAATTGTAGAGTTAGCGTGTTCACTTATGTCTTCTTTTATTAGACAAAGAGATCATTAAAGCTGATTATTTTTCTCTCATCAAGTTCTTTGCACCATCATCACCAAAATGATCCACTACTACTCCAGTAAACACAAGGAATATAGTCAATAATATGGTAATAACTATGCATTGTGCTAGGTGGGGGTACTAGACTAGTCAGGGGGATCACTTCTTAAATTATATAAATGTGTAACCACTATGCTGTACACTTGAAACTAATATAAAATAATATTGAATATCAACTGTAATTGAAAATTTTAGGGCCGGCTGAGTGGCACATTGGTTAAGAACTGGCTTGGGATACCAGAGGGCCCCGGTTTGGATCCCACATATGAGGGCCAGTGACACTGCCCTCTACAGCTAAGATGCTGAATAACAGCTCAACCTGGAGCTGGGCTGCCGTGGGTCGCCAGCAACGGCATTGGCTGCAGTCCCCTGCTGCAGTGGGCTGCCATAAGCTACCAGGTGTAGCCGGCAGCCAGCGTGAGCAGCCAGCAGCCGCTGTGAGCAGCCATCCAGAAGCCAGCGACTGATCTGCCTCACCCGGGAAGAGCGCAATGATGGTGCCAGCTTGGGCCAGTGAAGTGACATCCTCCACAACTAGACTGAAGAACAAAACAACAGCAACTTGTCTGTTCCCCTTCCCCCGATTCCCCAATAAAATCTTTAAAAAAAAAAAAAAGAAAATTTTATAAAAGAGAGGGGAAAGGTGAAGTGGAATAAGAGGTTCAAAATGTCTAGGTATAAAACAAGTAAGCCATGGGGATATAACATACAGCATAGGGAATATAGTCAGTAATATTGTAATAGCAGTGTACAGTGTCAAACGGTTGCTGGACTTATCATGGTGATCACTTCTTTAGGTATATAAATGTTGAATAACTATGCTGTACACCTAAAACTAATATAATATTGTATGTTAGCTATATTTTAATAAAAATCTTTTTAAAAATTATGATTGCTTTTAAATTTTTTTCACAAACTTTTTTTCCCCACCAGCTTAAATACTGCTTGCACATGACCTGCTTAATTTACAAGCTTCTCCATTCTCCTTGGTTGGTTTTTTTTCCATTTCTAAAAGATGCACTTTCTATGTATATAGTACTCTCTTTGATATTGCAAGCTACTTGCTATCCCAATCCACCTCCAGCAACCAAATGAAACAAATATATTTTGAGCTTCCCATACAGGCTTTTAAAAATAATTTAGATTTGTAAGTCTCAAATGCATTTTTTTAAAAGATTTTTATTGGGGAATTGGGGGGATGGGAACAGTGCTGGGGAATTGGGGGAAGGGGAACAGACAAGTTGCTGTCAGTTTGTTCTTCAGTCTAGTTGTGGAGGACGTTGCTTCACTGGCCCAAGTTGGCATCATCATTGCGCTCTTTCCGGGTGAGGCAGATCAGTTGCCACCTTCTGGATGGCCGCTCACTGCGGCTGCTGGCCGCTCACACTGGCTGCTGGGTACACACAGTAGCCCATGGCAACCCACTGCCACAGGGGCTGCAGCCTATGCCGTTGCCGGTGACTCACGGCAGCCCAGCTCCAGGTTGAGCTGTTGTTCAGCATCTTAGCTGTGGAGGGCAGTGTCACTGGCCCTCATATGTGGGATCCGAACCGGGGCCCTCTGGCGTCCCAAGCCAGCTCTTAACCATCACGCCAGTTGGCCGGCCCTCAAATGCATTTTTAATGCTCACATTTTGTTATAATATGTTCTCCAAAACTTGAGTACCATTATTGATTTTCTTGGTATATTCTTTCTTTACCAAGACATTGTACTTCATTGTGATCACTATTATATAATAGCTAACCTACACGATACCTCTCTTCCTACTTTTGGTGATGGTTCTTGCCTTTCTAGTATCTCGTGGCAAAAGTACTTGTCAAATAGCTTGGTGATAGGTTCACTTCCTTATAACTTCCTAAATACAGTGGGTTTGGAAAAATAAAAAGAACAAATCTTTCAATTCTTCTGATCTAACTACAAAACAAATCTAAAAGTTGTAAATAAGCCATTGATTAAAAAATATATAGTATGTACTTTCTGATACACTCTCAACCAGGAAGCGTATTCATTAACTTTGTAAGAAGAATTTTTTGTTGTAAGAAACAAAGATTAAATCCTAATCTTTCTAATTCATGTTTTAAAAGGATTTGATTGAAACAATCAACCCCAGGGAGAACACAGCTGTTCTTGCTTTCTATAATCAATGGGTTCCTGAAAGTATGTAAATCAAAGATTTAAAAATCAAGTCACATTTTGCATTTTAAAGCAGCTGTGATGTGAATCCTAACTCATCAGTATAGGTTAAGATTTTAAATCAAGGAATACCAAGCTGGAGAAAGAAAAAGAGAAAGATGCATCATTTACACAATGTTTGTACTTCCCACTCTTTTATTTTGGGATAAGACTTCTCATGCAAAACCCCAACTTTGAGAGTGGAAGGGATCATGAAAACAAGTTTTCACTGGTATAACCTCACTTCCCTTACTATCTGAAGATAGAGATCCCTGTCCTATTTGCCAATTCCTGAATTTTGGATAGATAACACCTAAATTCTAACTCCCCCTTCACCATCTCACCAGCCGTTTGCACCAGAGTATCCTGAGTCAGTATTAAGACAGATTCCAAAAAAATTAGAAAAAAAGAGACAGATTCCCTTTCTGTTTTTGATGCACGGGCAAAAGTCAAGTAAATAAACGGTAAACATCCCAAGTCACGCAATTTAAAAACCACCTATATAAAGTTGATTTGCCCAATCATTCACATCACCCACTTCAGAGCCTCTGAGAAAATCAAGTCAAGTCAGCCTCCCTCTCTAGGCGAGTCGGGGGGATCACTGCATAAACTATATAAATGTCTAACCACTATTCTCTACATCTGAAACTAATATAAAATAATATTGAATGTCAACTGTAACTGAAAAAATAAATAATTTTAAAAGAATATTAAAATTTCCAAATTTTTCTACCTCTACTGCAAAATTGCAATTTATTACTGTATCTGTACTTGGATTGCCTTCTCAAAGCCATAGCCCAGGAAGGATCTCTAAGTTCTGCAGCAGCACATGGAGGAACAGCTAAATTAACGTCATATTGGCTTATGATGAATGGTAGACAATTTATATATGCCCCACAAAAACGGGTCTGTGATAATGAAAAGCTCACAGATCCACCTCAAAACATTCACTTATTCCTTAATAGTCTTTACCTGTCCTTTGCTTGAATTTGGACTCTTCAGCTATAAGTACATTGTTAGAAACTTAAATCTTAGACAGAAGGTATCATTACTATTAAAACAACAACAAGGATGACAACAACCTTTTGGTATGGAAATACTCTTAGGAAGTCCAACAGGGAAGACTGTAAAATGATCATTTTGCTTGTCTCCTGTGTAAAGCCAGGGAGAGAAGGAAGAAGACTTCTTCCATACTTAAGTCACAGAATCAGAGGGCTGAGGGAACTTTTGAAGGCTCTCCTGTTCTGGCTGCACATGAGAATCCCTAGTACAACTTTTAAAATGCAACACCTAGACCTCATTCCAAAGCTACTGATTCAGACCCTCTATGATTGGGGCACAGCAATCAGTATTTTTAAACAAGTACTCTGCACTATTTTCTACATCATTTTAGCAACGGTTTTAAGATAGGCATTTGGGAACCACTGAGCAGACAGATCTTGAATTTGTATCCTTGATTATATGGAACTCATTACCATTGTTTTCCCCAGGCAAGCCTGTGGATGTCTAACTCTGTACACTAAGAGGACAACTTGGAGATTAAAATAAAACCAAGAGCACCTTGGTATTTATATACCTGTATTTTAAAAATTAAGTCTTCAATACTTCTTCTAAGGACAC